ACCAGAAATAGATACAGAAGACCTTGACAAGGTTCCCTCTAAGCTGCTACCATTTTTTGTGCGTGTGTGTAAAAATGGATGGGCGTACACCCACACCTTGTTTTTCCGGTGAAGAGGCCTCCGGCCTGTACTATCTGTTACGCTTATAAATTGGAAACGCTCCCGTTTGCCGTAAAGGGACCTGTCCGGAATGTCGCCCACCCTTTTGTAAGCGTCCGAATGGTTTGCTTGTTGGGAAAGTACGAGAAGTTTTTATCTTGACCGTCTTTCTTCTTGGTTGCTAAACTGAATTCATACAAAAACAGTCTTGTTTTTTTTTTCATTTTTGCTGTTTTTGTTTAGACGCTGCTGAAGTTTTGCTGATATCCGCAGCAAGCGCACGTACCAAAGCGTAGAAAGGTGGAAGCGCCTCTAATGAAATTTCGTCTATTAGTGGAACTGCGTTTGTTCCAGTTTTAAATAATTCAAATGTCTGGGCATGTAAAAACATTTTGGAGATGCGTACCTCCGCATTTAGGTTATAAAATGCACCCGCACTTTCTGTTCAAACATCAAAAAAACTACCCAATATATATTTTTTTTTTGTGCTGCGTTTCGCAGTTCGTGGAAATAATACATGTGTCACAACGTATATTTCTGAACCATATTGTAGTGCTGGGACTTTCGTTAACTTCAACTTGTCATTGCGCGATTGCGCGTCTTATGGGCTAACAGCCATTACTTCGGTGACTGACAATTTCAGGTTTTGTTTCTACGTGTGTAATTACCGCGTATTTGAGGCATTTTCACTGTGGGAAGGATTTCATCTCGTGATAGTGTTGGTTTAAAATATTCCAAGTATGAAGTACTACCTTCTGCTTACTTCAAGCAGCGCCCACGGGGTCATAGTTTAAAGGCAAATCCTTAGACTGGCACTTGAAGAATTTATTGTTATCAAGCTCCTATACGCGATTCCCACATTTTATTGATTAATTATTGCTGCTCTAATTAGACAACATCGTTAAGCCAATTGTACACTTGAAGATAGGTAGAGTTTTCCAGGGAAACACTTTTCAAGCAAGCTAAGCTTTTTACAACAAAATGTTTAAACAAGCCTTTAAACGTGAACATAGCCTCGACTTTACTATTCAATATTCGAAACAAACAGGGCTGTCGGAAACATATATTGTGACGAAGTGTACAAAGAAAACAAAGCGCCACCTCGCGACACCCCGATCGCAGAGCTTCGGTCTCCCATTACACCCTTCATTCTCATCAATCCAACACGTTCTTTTTAGAGCGCAGCTCTTAGGGGCCCGTTCCCGGCTTGAGCGGCGTCGCCGTCGGCGTCGGCGTCGCCGTCGCCGTCGGCGTCGGCGTCGGCGTCGGCGTAACCGCAACCCTCGTAACCCTCGTGAGGGTTACGAGGGTTACGAGGGTTAATCTCATGAGGGTTACCCTCACGAGGATCACGAGGGCCACGAGGGTTACTTACCCTCGTAACCCTCACGAGGGTTACGAGGGTTAGTTACCCTCAAAAGGGTTACCTTCACGAGGGTTACCTTCACGAGGGTTACTTACCCTTGTAACCCTCACGAGGGTTACGAGGGTTAGTAACCCTCGTGAGGGTAACCCTCGTGAAGGTAACCCTTTTGAGGGTTACGAGGGTTAGTAACCCTCGTGAGGGTAACCTTCACGAGGGTTACCCTCACGAGGGTCACGAGGGTTATGAGAGTTACCCTCACGAGGGTTACTCACCCTCGTAACCCTCACGAGGGTTACGAGGGTTAGTTACCCTCACGAGGGTCACGAGGGTTATGAGAGTTACCCTTACGAGGGTCACGAGAGTTACCCTCACGAGGGTCACGAGAGTTGCCCTCACAAGGGTTACTAGGGTTACCCTCACGAGGGTCACGATGGTTACCCAGGTCGTGACCCCCCCTGGGGTCACGTGACCTGGGGATACCCCCCGAGGTCACGTGACCCCCCGTTGACGTCATAGGCACTGATGACGTCGTCAGTGACGTCACTGATGACGTCACCGGCATCCGCATCGTCATCGTCATTATCACTGATGACGTCATTAGTGACGTCACTGATGACGTCACCGGCATCCGCATCGTCATCATCATCACTGATGGCGTCATCAGTGACGCTACTGATGACGTCATCGGTATCGTCACGTGGCCCCAGGTCACGTGACCCCCCGACGTCACGTGACGCCCCAAGGTCACGTGACTCCCACAAGGTCACGTGACCCCCAAGGTCACGTGACCCCCCGCCCCCCCGAGGTCACTTGACCCACCCCCCAGTACCCTTCCCTCCTCCTCCTCAAGAGCTGCGCTCTAATTCGGCGTTACAGGGAGTTGTAAACGGCTTTCATTTTTTGTTTGTAAATATTAGCGAAGCATAATCTGATCCCGCAACCTCACTCAAGGTTATAATCTAAGTAGTCCGACCCGAACTGAGCTTATTAAATGCATCTGCAGCTGACAGAAGGAATATGTACGCTCGGTAATTAGGTGTTCATTAGTTACAATCAGCTTTAGGGATATTGTGTTGATGTGGATTTAGGGAAGCGACCGCGAAGTAAAGAGAAGAAGACGCTGGAGGACTTAAAATGAACGAAAAGGAAGATGCGTAAGAAAAGGGGCACGAGGAGGGCAGATGATAGAACTACACCCCCGAAGGAAAAATCCATCAATGTAACCCTGTTTGGCAGTCAATGCTTTCTAGTGGACCGCTGACTGTGCCTGACTGTACGTCAAGCATGTCTGATTGGCCAACAAGTTACTCTGACCGACAGTCAAACTCCAGTCAGACTCCACTTGTCGGCTTTCTGATGGTTTCCTAGTGGCAGTCGGCCGCCGCGAAATGCCATCAAGATGTCTTGATGGTGATTCTGGTTTTACATCGATTGGCTCTGACTGTACGTCAAAAAGCTTTGACGTGCAGACAGACGTGCGGTCAAAGGACGTGAAGTTCGTTCGGATACCACTATTTTGTCAAATCTATGAATACGAAAAATAATCTATGAACAAGAAAACGATTTCGGGACGTGAGCCCATAAAACCGCTGATGTTAGAGATATGACACGCAGCCGACCGACAACCTAGATCAGAAGCCCGCCGAACACGCCACTTCGCTGACTTCGCTTCGCCCATAGAGGCTTCGCCAAGCTTTCATGAACGATCGCTCTCGACTCGTTTTGTTTGCCCGCTTGCTCCTACCTGTCGATCCTGCCCGGGCTCTACAATGTCTTATGTTTTAGTAGAATTTCTGCTCGACAAGACCCAGCCTGTTGTGAGTTCCGACGATGTAAGGGACTTTAGCGGTGTAGTTGAACACGACAAGGTGTACCAGGTCTACTGGGCCGGAGACGCGCGAACAAAAGAATCGTTCTACGGCGCGAAAGTACTCTACATGGCAGGTGAGTAGAACTGAAGTGCGGCGAGTGATGTACGAGTGCTTTGCATAACATGCTGAAGGCTTAACTGCATTTGCAGCCGAAGCATCTCGTATAACACGAATTGTCAAATCGAGTTTTCTAAGTGATGGCATAGCATAGGGGTCAAGGTGTCCGATTTGTACGCAAATGGTGGCGGTTTCGATCCGCGGTGGTCCTGCTTTTTTTTTTTTTTTTTTCTCGAACATTTCGTTTTATTGAGGCATTTGGTGATATTTATGAGTGCGTATAGCTTTACTCTTATATAAATGCTGCCCTTGTTGATGAAATTCCCTTGGCAGTGGCAGTCAGACGTCATCTGATGGACCATCAGGTGACGTCTGATGGCCCATCACGTTCCACCAAGGCTGCTGACTGGCAGTCAGTGTCCCAAATTACGTATCTTGATGGAATTTTCAATAGAGCCCTAATAGAACGAAGCCAGCCGATCGGCCTGCTGCTGATCAGAACCTGCCCAGGCAGGTTCAGATCGCCGTCGCTGCCGGGGCACCACCAAAAGCGCTGACATGATGGCTGCGCCCAAAAGGACTCTGTAAATATTTGTATATTCATCTTCTTTCAAATCATAGTTCTCTTATTTCATATACACCGTTTGTGGAAATTCGTGTCCTCAACATTTAACATTATCATATTCACAGATACACACAGATACGCATGTTCAACAAGCCACCATAAAAAAAAAAAAAAGTTCCGGTTTACTAATGCCTTTTGTGTGCGATGCGGATGAAGTTGAACCAATTCGGAAAACCACCTGTCGTTCGGAATTTGCTCAGAACCCAAGCAGTTGTGAAAACGAAATTATGCGAAGCAGCCGCGGTAAGCATTCAACGCTAGAGAATCCTCCGGAATCCCCGCTCAAATCACTTCCCTCCCCCTCATCCTCCCTTCCAAACCTGTAGGCACATCTAACCGCGATATCGATGTTGTCCTCTCCGACGTTCGGAATCTGAAAACCCAACGTCAGATTAAAGGGAATTGTCCGGGAAACGAACTTCGCCGCCTATACAACGGTCGCGCTCCCCACCCGCATGACGAACAACGGAACGCGCCCTCGGACGCACTCCGTTCCGAGTGCGGGGCTTTCCCGCTCGACCCCCTCATCGAACCAACGACGCGCCTCCCACAGTCCTTTCCCTCGCCGGACGGGAAAGTCCGCCCCGCCGCGCGATCAGCGTGCCCACGTTATCCATTCAGAAGCCCAAAGTGCTGCCGACGGGACAACTCGACCGCCGCACGTGCGGGAGCCAAGTGAAGAACCGGCCAAAGTCGGGGCGAGAGAATTTTGTTGCGCACCGAAACAAACACGGGACGCCGCCGCCGCGGATTCCCACTCTCGCCGGAAGAACAAGCGACCGATTGCGCGACGAGAGGGAGCGCGCGAAAAAAGAAAGAACAGCCAGCCTAGCGCGGAGCGGAGTGGCGCTGGGAGCTGCCCTTCCTTCGCGCGCCACGCAGTTTGGCGGCAGAAGAGTATACGCGCCGGCTCCACATACTGCGCCAGAACCCCCGCCGGGACGGTAGCTCGGTCGGCAGCTCGCCGCGCCGGTCCACCCCCCAACCTCCTGACCTCCCGATCCCCTCAACCTCCGAGAGTTGCGCCGCTATGGTCCGCAGCTCGCGATGACCTCCATGCCCGGCTTCGGAATGACGCACGACCCTTCACCCCCGCCGCTGCTACTGGACGTCCCGTACCAGCCGCAGGATTACGCCAACTTCAGCGCGTTCCCGTCGGCACCCCCGCCCCTCGGCGTGGGTGTCAGTTCGGGAACGCTGTACCAGGTGCCCGTCGGGTTCATCGTGCTCCTGTCGCTCTTCTACGGCCTCATCTCGCTCGTGGCCGTTGCGGGAAACTTCATGGTCATGTGGATCGTGGCAACGTCGCGGAGGATGCAGACGGTGACCAACTTCTTCATCGCCAACCTGGCCGTGGCGGACATCATCATCGGCCTCTTCTCCATCCCGTTCCAGTTTCAAGCGGCGCTTCTTCAGCGCTGGGTGCTGCCGGAGTTTATGTGCGCTTTCTGTCCTTTCGTTCAGGTGCTCTCTGTGAATGTGTCCATTTTTACGCTGACGGCCATCGCGTTGGACCGCTACCGCGCCGTGATGTCGCCGCTCAAGGCACGGACCTCGAAACTGCGGGCCAAGTTCATCATCTGCGCCATCTGGACCTTGGCCCTGGCGGCGGCGTTGCCATACGCCCTGGCGCTGCGGGTCGAGACCCTGGTGGTTTCGTCGGCGCTGAATCTGACCAAGCCGTTCTGCCATGAGGTGGGCATTTCACGCTCGGCCTGGCGAGTCTACAATCACTGTCTGGTGTGTCTGCAGTACTTCTTCCCGTTGCTCACCATCTGTTTTGTGTACGCCCGCATGGGGCTCAAACTTAAAGAGAGCAAGTCGCCAGGGAATGCACAGGGTGCCAGGGACGCCGGCATCCTCAAGAACAAGCGAAAGGTGAGGTGTTCACATTGAAGTAGGCTTCGTATACAGTTGGGGTTTTCAGTCGTTAAACTGCAAACTAGGAACAACGCGCGGGATGATTCTTACGTAAAAAGGTATAATACAAGTCAGTGTTTAAGAATCTGCAGTCCTGATGCCGGATTTTGTTGGCTAATAGACTTCCCAGAGTAGCATACCACAGTCACTTGGACTGCACATCGAAGTGCTCCGGGATTGGATTCACTTGCGGCGCGCCAAACCCCAGTCTGGAGGCGCTTGGACCATCAAACTTTGAAACCACTTTGTCATTTGCTGTCTCGCATATCCACCTCATATTGATGCACCCACTTACCAAATGAGCCATTTAAAATAATGGTAGCTAGAACAACTTTCCCAACTTCCATATACTCTCATTCTGCTTTATATAGTAGCAGCCCTCTAAATGAATGCCCAAAATATTTGCATTCACCTCCTACAAACGTCCAAAAATTGCAATGTAAAACGAACTTAACAACTAACTCTCGGTGCATTCTTGTTTTCTAAATCAAAGTGGGGATCTGGCTTGATTGATTTTTGACTGAAAAATTATGAAGAGCTTGTAAAAAACTAGAAGGGCGAAAATAAGCTGCAACGTACCCACGCTCTTCCGCAGAAATCGAGAAATTGAAGCCGACTAAAAACCTGTTTACAATTATGCTCTATCTTTAAAAACAACACCCGTAGCAGATGGAAAGTTGCCCGAACTTACCCCATAAGCATGTGCCAATTCCAATGCGTATTCCTGTTTTCTCACGACTCTGAGGTGCGCAGGAAAATGCATGATAATGGTCTTTTGAATTACTAAAGTGCAGGTAAACCTATCATAAAATAACCATGGGACTTGCAATAATTCAGTCTTTATTTAAAAACTTTGATCTGTACAACATTTTCCGCACGAATTACCGACGAGGGTTGAAAGTAAAACATGCTTGGATTCTTGCCGCCAAGGACACTTGCTGTTATTTTTGAACTTTAGAATCCAGTGCGCCGCACTTGAAAGGCACCCTGTCAATCTACTGTTGCATCATCCTTATAATTTTACTTTAGTTTAAATTTCTTTTTGATGTATTTTCGTACACTTTACGACTTTGTGCTATTACTTGGCACCAAAAACTTACAGACATGTTACACTGCACCGAGGGTCTAATTCGTCATTTAATTAAGACTGACAAATGTATGTTCCGTATGATCCCGAGACAACTACCAGATCATTTGTTAACAACTAATTTTATAATTTACAAAACCAAAACTTTGCATATATTTAACGTTTCCGTCGTCGTCTCCCTTTTTTTTTTTTTTTTTTGCTTTGATTATCCTAATAATAAAATATTTCGCTGATTCTCATAGCAAATGCACTACAGATATCTCTCAACGGATATAGATCGTGGTTAGAAGGCCTGCAATTGCGTGAGCCATAACTTGAGGAACTTAGTGCGATATCGAGCTTGAGAGAGATCTGAATGTTAGATTAGATTGCTAAACGCGAAAGCAGTCAAAGACTTCCCTATGGGTGACATCAGTTTTCAAATCCGCAAAATATTCGCAGAACTAGCCTGTAGGACCCGCAAGCGGATATCGGTCGGCGCTCTTTGCTACGGCTTACAAAACATTCGCCTGCGAGACGTGGTGTGTGCTACACTATTACAACGCATATTAAACTGCATTAAGCTGTAATTATAACAATAGCGTCATACTTAGGTTATAATTAGGCACAAATGCCGCCATCACAACCTCAGTAACAAAACTCTAAATCTAAAAGAAATAAAAAAATTTTAAGGTAGATGTACTGCGATGGTTGTTGGATTGAAACTAAAATATGTGTTGCATGGTCAAATCGAACAGGCCTGCACAGAGATGTATCACTAATATGTACCCCGTTAATATGAATACCCGGTTATATAGACAATATTTTCAGAAACGAACTGAATGACTACGTGATTGTTATATTTAGGGACAGCTCATATTAGGAACAATTTTCGTAAAGAACGGGGGCGTCCATATTAACGAAACGTGTGTTTATTTCCACCTTGTAAAAATACAGATGGAGAGGCTGTGGAAAAGAAGCTGCGCTTAGCAGCTTGACGGGCCCACAGATTTTGTATTCATGGCAACTAAGCAGCACAACGGTGGGAAGAATTAACATGCATAAAAAGGATAATGACTACGAAAACGCGAAGGTATACAGGATGTATGTTTCCCGTTTCAAATAGAACTATAAAATGGGGAACGTTCGGAATGTTGCCAAGCATCCCATTAAGGTTACACCCCGTATCGTGGTCATATGAATGTTGGCGGATGCTTACCATAACTGTAGAGCCCTGCGCGGACAATAGTTTGATCATTTGATCCGCATCCGCAGACTTTGTATCCGCATGCGAACCGCATCCTCAAAATTCGGAACTGCGTCCGACCTTCAATCCGCGCATTCATTTTAGATAAGAAAATCAAGCATGAATGAAATTAAAAAAAGAAAAAAGAATCTGGATGGTATCCAGATTCTTACCAACTGCTTACCTATCAAAAAAACAAAAAACTTGTTGTGTTAGAATGTGGTGAAAGTCATTTTATCGTATCCTGATTTATCGTATTTATAAAATAAGCTATCATCCTTCCAGAGACACTTCGCATCGCTCGAAATATGACATATATCAATCGAAATACTAATCGAAGCATGGAATATGATGATAGTATGATTGGGAGTCCGTGACACTTACACTCCGTCCAGAAGATGCGCTTCAAAGAAAGGAAATTTATATTTATTTTCTTTTTTGCTTTGTCAAACCCACTTCAAGCAGCCTTGTAATTTATAAACATGAAAATGGACAACGGACAGACTGATAACAATGTGTCGTTTTATTCAGGCCAAACAATAAGAAAACTGGGAGAGGAAAGTCGCTCACTCGCTGCAGCAAAATAGTCGTATGCATGGGCTAAGGCGCGAGTACACCACTTGGAAAATACCACAATATTCAATAATGGCAACACTCCTATCGGTTCAGTTTTTAGCACGAACCGTCAGCTTCATGCTCGGAACCATATACATAAAAATAACTCAGTGCCAACTGTCGAGAAAAATAAAACGCACACGCAAGCATCGTTTCACTTATCGAGGTGGTTGTATAGAAGAAAGAGAATATCGTCCACTCGGACGAATTCAGAAGTCTCTTTCGGTTGGTGCATTTGATGTTGGGATGGCAAGCACAAACTGCGCTACAAGAATGAGGTCCGGAAACTCGTGCTGGCGCAAGTTTCACCACTCCAGAGGTTCACATTCAGTCTCCTCGATCTACTTATGGGCGAAAAAGCCACTTGCAGGCTTCTTCTACTTTTGTTTGGCTTGTTCGTTTTTGGCTTTTCTTTGCCCAAAGATCATTTTCCGCTCTTCTTCCTGTCAAGAAAAAACACGCTTCCAGAGACGCAATTGCATTCTTTACCTTTTCAAGGGACAGCATTCTAGGTGAGATAAAACTTTTTAAATCTATCTTTGGTGATGTTAAAATCTTTTTGGACGTAAAGAACAATTTCTTCCTCGATTGGCACCTTTTATCCAAGAGAGTCGCTTGCACCCGCAATGATGCACTTCGTAGTAATACTCACTTATTCACTCTACACTGTGCGGTCGCACACGTTTGCCTCGGCAAAAATGAATCCGGACCCGCAGATATCCGCATCCGATCCGCAATGCGCCGAATCTGATTAACTTTTATCCGAACCCGCCATTTTATCCGCGGATATCAGCGGATAAAATGGCGGATATCCGCAGACATGCGGGGCTCTAACCATATGCGGATATCCGCGGATGTCCGCGGATGTCCGCCGACTATCCGCAGACATGCGGGGCTCTAACAATAAGCGATCCGACGAAGTCTCCTTCTATTTACTTTGATCCAAGTTAAGTCTTTGGCAGCAAACCCGCAGAGACAACGAACGCCATGACGATGCACTTTCGACACCGCTTGATTGGCCCAATCGGATCGCAACCGCAGCTGCGTTCGGATTTTAAAAGTGAAAAGGAGCACAACAACAGTAACTGATCAGAACCTTTTCAATGCCCCTTATAAAGCTTGTTATAACTTCTTTTTTTTTTTTTTGCTGCAACAATTTTTTTTTACGAAGTCAGTGTACATATTAGGCTGAGCGATCTTGTACGCACAAATAGGGACAAAGAAAACGAGGAAGGCCCGAACAAACCCATAAAACTGTCCCCGGTTTGTATCTGCTCCTTTTTTAATCTCAACGTCTATACCGGACTGTAGGAACGTCAGACCACATGGCATCTGGAATCGAACTTTTTTTTTTAATCACGCGCTTGTAATGGCGTCAGCATTCCGTGTGGTGCGCGTGTTTCCAGGCTAAAGCTAGAACAAAAACTATATAAAAAAGAATGAAGCTTCTTTTAAGTTTAAATAACACGGGCCAGCATTGAAAACTGTCCTTATATGATGAATAAATCGAAGCTCATAGGATGTTCTTTGTTATCCCAATTCTAGATTCGTTCGCCTCCCACTCGGGAGTTTCATTATCTCTTTTACTCCACCTCCGTTCCACTGACCCCTTCGGAGCATTTCTTCTTGCCCCGCAACCCTATTTAGGAAAATTAAAGTTAAAATTCTTATTTATTTTTTTTTTTATTTGGAGAAGAGCGACAGAGAAGAAACGCAACTCCGTTGTTGCTCGTCGAGCCTGTGCTTCCCCGCAACAGCAGAGAGGACAATATGTACATGTACGCAATATTTTAACCAGAATATTTAGGACACAAAAATAAACAGCAGGCATGGGGGGGGGGGGGGGGGGGGGGGGAGACAGTGATGGATTTACCCAGATTTTCAATATTAACAAACTCCAAAGGCACTTCGTCACAAACATCGAATGTACTACATTTTTTCTGTGTTTCACTCAGCACTTCTGAATGCAATTCAATCAGGCAATTAAAAACAAGGTGGTCTGTGTATTTTCACATCTGATTACCGTAGTTC